AGTCGGGGGTAGGGGGGACAAAAACCTCACCGTGATTTTGGCGATCTAAACCCCGGTCATTGAGAAATGACGTTAGCCCTGTGAATACTTCTGTTGTGCTCATTGACAGAGCTGCTACTGTAATACAATACACCTGCACTTGAGTCGTGTGATGCTGCTCGGAGATCGTTGTCTCGTGGGGTTAGGTGCTACACTTGGGCGAGGGTCTGGTTGGCTAATGTGGTTAAGGCCAGGGTTAGAGCTCGTTAGGGCCTGGTTGGCTAGTGCAGTTAGTGCTAGGGTTCGTATAGGACCTGGTTGGCTCGTGTAGTTAGGGATAACTTTGGTTGGCTAGTGTAGTCAGGGCTAGGGTTCGTATAGGACCTGGTTGGCTAGTGTAGTTAGGGATAACTTTGGTTGGCTCGTGTAGTCAGGGCTAGGGTTGAGATAGGGCCTGGCTAGTGTTGTGAGAGCTTGCATCTGGTTGGCTATCGTGTGGTTACGGATATGGTGATGTTCGTGTGATAATTGATTTTTTACCCTTTTATCTGGCAACAAAACGGACACCTTTTTGTCAGTTTTGTTGCCAGATAAAAGGGTAAAAAACCAATTATCATATTTTGCTACTGGCAAAGAAGATTCCAATGGTGATGTTCGTGTCTAGTTTGCTATGTTAGGATTAAGAGTCAAGTTAGTGTGTTGCTGGCGAGTGTGGCTAACGGCGGAGGGCTCGTGTTAGGCTGGCGAGTGCCCTCTGCCTCTGTGCCCATCCCGCAGAGGTTTCCGTTTCCATTTCGGTGTCAAGAAACTGGGTGGGGACGAGCGGCGCTCCTCCGTGCTCGTTGAAGCACAGCGGTGACTCTTCTTCCGCTCGCTGCGAGAAAAATAACGCGCACCGACGCCGGCCGGCGTGTTGCGTGCGGGCGATGGGTGATTGAGAGCTGGGCGGCGTCCTTCTCCCAGACAATTAGAATCGAGATGTGCGGTGTGAGTCATCGGGAAGACGCGGGCTCGGCCGCCGTCGGGCGACAGAGGGGTGCGGGCGCACACCCCGTGGTTTTGTTGCCGGGCGTGTGGGAGCGGCGGAACAGGTGACGGCTTGCTCGCGATTCTTCTGCGGATCCACGGCGGGGCCCCTCAAGCGACCCCGAGCGGTTCGTCGCCTCCCGAACTCCGTTGGCTCCTTTGTGCGGGGGCCATCGAGTGAGTGTCGTGATGCGCTAATTGCAGTTATGAGCTACAATCCGGTCAGGCGACTCGGTGGCATAGCGAGCAGCCCACAGTCTTGGGGGTTGAATATTCAGATCTCTTGTTTGGGGTCCCTGACTCTCCAACCGTTGGTTCCCAAGGATCGCCCCCCACCCTATGCCGATTGTCCGGCATTTTGGATCCAAGAGTTGAACAAAACCGTTCTCTCCAGCGCTCTGCGGCATTTTGCGACGCTCGCGCGGTAACCTTTGACCCTCGCTGTCATTGGCCGCAGGGCCTCCTTCACCCCGCGCATCAGCAAACACCGCACTGTGGCAGCCCTCGCACACACTGTCTTCTCACCTCATAGCCACATCCTCATTTTCACCCCATCCTCGTCATCACCATCATCATCTCTAACATCACTGCATCCAGCGCGTTTTAGTGTCACAATTCGGTCGCAACAGATCAACGCTTTAATTAACATTGCTCTACACTTTAATCGCGGAGGTCAGAACACCGCAGGGGCAGATGCGGCTCTCTCCTGCGCTAACGGACATTTAAAAGTTTACCCGCAGCATCACTGCGGTCACCAATCTCAAACCAACGACCACAAGGTGTAACGCCACCGCCCGCTCCGATCATTCGCCGGCAGCGTTTTGGGAATTCGCCACGAGGCTGCTTCTGAAGCCGCCCACGGGCTGTCCCTCTGTCCTTGACACGAGCATTGTAACACACTCCCAACCAACTCCCAACCGTCGTACAGAAGAAGAAGCTGCACGAGCTCTGCGTACGAAATCTCTCCTCTTATTACACTGGTCAGCACACTTTTTCTGGCATAAGGTATTCCAATGGCTTTCAGGTAATTTTGGGGTGCTGATTCCAAATCTGGCATCAGGTTTTTGAGATATCAAATATTGCATTTTCAATAAAAACTGCAGAAGAAAAATATTAAATAAATGTGGATATCTACATAAAATGATATTATAAACACACTAAAGCAGTCACTGACTCGCAACAACTTGCAATCATAAGTGACAGAGTTAATTTCGGGTAGAATCAATGAAAATGGGGTATGCCGATAGCATAAAATGAGATGTGATAGAGCAAATCTGAGATCATATTTGGAATCGACACCCTGAAATTAGTCTAGAACAGCTGCTAAAGTCCAGGCCAGAAAAAAATGTTTTTTTGTTGTTGACCAGTGTTATTTTGTACGGACTCGAAGCGTTTAAGCTCAGTGCCCTGGCTGGAGTCTCGCTGCCCGTCAATGTAATCTCCCGCTCTGCGTTCCCACTGCCTGGCTCTCGCTACGAACACCAGGTGCAGAGGTTGCCGCTTGCCTCGTGGGTCTTGTCGTGGCCATGCCGCAGATGAAAGGGCCCGCAATCGCTGAGATCCTGGGTTTGAATCCGGGTGTCGGCCACACATTGATTAAACCTCAGCCCATTCGTAAATAACACCGTGGCCTTAAATGGGAACAATATAACATAGGTGACATTTTGGGAATTGGCCCTTCTTTATAATGAGCCTGGATTCTCAAGTGTATTGATTTGATAGTCTTGGCCACTAATTGTTTGGTATTAAATAATATACATTTTTATTTTTTGAATTATTATGAAATATTTAAATACAAAATTTTGACACTTTTTTTTACAAATAAATGCATGTATAATGAATCGCGATTTGGTTTTAAATGTAACGATGCAACATATCGCTGCATTGCAAACCGTGCAAGGAGAGACGCACGGTGAATAATGCATCGATTGCAACTCTCGCTGCAGTCCCTGGAGCTTGCTGGATTTACCGGAGCTATGAAAACCCCGCGCATCCTGCAGAACCTGTCATCGTAATACGATGCGATGGGTGGGTGGGCAGCCGTGTCCACCTCTCCTCGAATTTGACACGAATCCCAGAGGCACCGGCAAATATAATAATCATAATCACGTTCATTGCCACGCGGTAATCCCAACAACTTGGGGCCCACCGCTGCCGCCTCCGCCGCCGCCTCAACCCTCGCCTGACCCCCTGCCTTGCCGCATTTAAATTCCAGGAAAATATTGAAGTGCAACTGTACGCGGTGAATTCTGGCAGCTGTACACGGTGGCTTTCGTGAGCCAATTGTCGAGGCATTATTATTGATGCGTGCACGGCCGCGGAATGATCATTAGGGGCGCTGTGAAAGTCACGGTTTCGCCCCGAAGCCTTGCGAGTCGCACTATTCCCGCACGTCTTGCTAAAACGTTGTTTAGTAAACACGGAGGCCCACGTTGGCAGTGGCGTTGCAAGCAACGGTTCCAGCAAACGCGACGTCCTCTTCCGTGAACGCCGCTGCCTCGCGAAGAAACAAACGAGGGAACAGCGCCGACGTTGTTAGGCTGCGGCTCCTCACTGTTTCTCGCAAGTGCCGCTCCGGCTTCTGGTTGCGGCAATTACCGCGTTAGCATTTACTTCCCCCCCCCCCCCCCCCCGAACTATTTCATCTGCACTGCGGTATTTCACGCGAGGGCATTGCACGCGCGGCGGAGGCTCGGCTGGAGAACGTTCAGCGGCACGTCGTCGCGGTGGCGGCGGCGTGCTGCCTGCGTGAGGAGCACGGACGCGTCGCTTGAGGTAGCGGTCATGGGAGATCGGCGAGTCCACGCGGCGCTTTTTAATTAAATTCCTCTCGACCAGATATTGACGCGTGGCTACGACGTGGTGCGTGGCGATCCTGCCTCCCCCCCACCACCATGGTACTGGCCGCATCGGTCTAAAGTAAACCGTTTTGATCTTACCAGGTAAAGCCATAATACAGGTTTTTAGTTTTTTTTTGGGTTAGATCGCCAATTAGTAAGGTTTTTCACGTAAACAGAACATGCCAATTCGTTACTAGTACAGCACACCGGTGTGTTGGAGAATACATCCACAACATTTACAATCTGAGTACGACATTTCGTCAGAAATCACAACCAGCATCATCAGGTGGCAGCCAGATTTGTGGTAAATTATCCAGGTAATGCCCACTAAGCTATGTAGCTCTTTTTCAAAAGCGACCTGGCTATCACAAATGATAGCTCAACGAAGTGGCTTATCGTCAAGTGGAAATGTATAGCATCCAAATACTCAGAACCTGGTGATGTTGATTCTAAATGTGGAGGGAAAAACCGGAGGGCCCGGAGAAAAAAATCCACGTGACCACGGGGAGAGAGAGAGACACCGCAGACTCCAAATATACAGCAGGCGTCAGGGTCGGGATCGAACCCGCGACCTCCTGTATACCAGGCGAGGCAGTTAACATCTCCTAGCCACCTAGGTGCCCCAAATTAAGACCGGTGTTGTGATATGTTGGCATTAATTGTATCACGGAGAGACTGCCTCCAAACATAGGAATGTGGAATTACCGCTGGGAGGAGCACGGCTGCGCGCCTGTTTGTGCCGGGCGGCACTGTGACCGGACGGACCACGTCGTTGCTCTCGTTGTCCCTGGGTGTGATGGTGGTGGTGGTGGCGGTGGCGGTGTTTGGCGGCGGTGGTGGTGGCGGTGGTGGTGGCGGTGGTGGTGGTGGCGGTGGTGGGTGGCGGTGGTGGCATGCAAACAAACGAGCACAGCTGGTGCATCTGCCAGTCATCTCAGTCAACCCATGGCACATGCTGGGTCTGTCCCGCCACCTCCTGTGAGCGAGCCTTCGACACTTCACGTGGCCTTAAATTGCACCTGGGCTGGCACAGGCGCCGTGGTGACTTCACCGCCACTTAGTGGTGAATGGCGCTGGGTGTTGTTGTTGGCTGCTGGTGGCGTTGGGCTCACTCCGCGTGTCTCTCTCTCTCCCTTCCCGTGTGTTTTCCCGCAGTTTGTTAGCGAGAAGGTGGGCGGAGCGGAGGGGACGAAGCTCGACGATGACTTCCTGGAGATGGAAAAGGTTTGTGGCGCTTGGCTGTGCGGTTATTCAATTACCACCGATTGTATCCCAAGTGGCGTTGCTGCCACTGTGGTCTCGTGGATTCTAATGAGGATTGGACGTCATCTCAGACTTTGAAATGACTCCCTTTTTCCGACTAATTACAACCTCGCTACACTCAAGCAACATGTTAGCGAGCTTATTTGTTTACATCTTCAACGGTGCTGTTTGTTGCTGGCCACTTGCTATATTTTGGGCCTTTGGGCCCTTGTGTTCAGCGACCGTGATAGAACGTAAAAAATAAAGAGATACTGCATCCCGTGCCTCGCCCCCCCCACCTCCCCACCCACCCCGGATCCTCGACTGCGTCGTCCGAGCCAGTGGTCGTGGAACTGTTGACACGCGTGATCCATCTCACACGACACGTGGCGCTGGCTGTGGTGTATGTATGTTGTTTGTTGTTGTTGTTGAACTTCCTTCGCACTGTATGTTTGCCGACCGTGCTAATCGGAGGTGCGAGGATAAACCAAGAGTTCGCACGATGGTTTCTGCTCCTTGACCAGATCAGCAAGGTGGCGTGTTTCACTTGTGGCAAGCGCTTTGTGTGTGACGAGTGCGACCTTCTAATGCCTTCGTTCGGCGTGCGTCTGATGGTGCGACGTGCGCGTGCAGAAAATTGACACAACCCAGAAGGCAGTGGTGGACATTGTCACCAAGACTCAGGAGTACCTGCAGCCCAACCCAGGTACCTTCCTTCCCCTCCCGCTCGTCTCCCACTGCTGTTTGACTGCTTCGCCTTTTTCGCCGTGGGTGGTGGTGGTGGTGGTGGCGGCACTGGGGACCGAACCCGGTGCTTTACTTTTAAGCCGGTCGATCCGCAACACTGTCGCGGGATTTGTTTTGGCACCCAGCCGCATCCATCTTCACCTTATTGTGTGTCCTGGTGATTGTGCAGTGGTGCGTGATGTGGTATGCGTCGTGGTGCGTCTGCGGTCGTGTGCAAAGAAACGATTTAAAAAAAAAACTAATTTGAGGACATGAAAGTGACGCGTGTGCGTTGGGTTCTGTCGCGCTCTCCGACATGCCCTTGTCATCGCGACATTACGATCCGAACTGTGCAGCGAGATGTCATCGCCTTACCCTGCAAGGCCAAATACTTTCAGTGCCGTTTTTTTTTATCGCCGAGGTTTTAGACAACGGTTGGATTAATTTGGATCATTTTTTTTCGGTCAGATCCCTAATAGCAACACAACCATTTCACTAAGAAGGTGTTTATATTGGATCATCATTGCCAGAGTGATCATGGGCCCCCTGTTACAGACAGACGGACAGAGCTCATTGTAAAACTATTTCAACCTGACGTGGAAAGCGTCACAACGAACCCCTGTAGCCTCAGCCTTGCCACGTCTAAAAATTGCATTGGCAGGCCTGGTTTATTGATTAATTGCTTGTTTATTGATTGGCTATGGAAGCACTTGGAATGCATTTGCTCGAGTGGGTCGGTGGCTGGGAGGGGGTGGTGGCTGGGTGAGTGTCTGTGAGGGGGCTGCGTGGCTGGATGGGTGGGGGGGTAAGTGAGAGGCTGGGTGGCTAGATGAGTGGCTGGGAGGGTGGGTGAGAGAGTGGCTGAGTGACTGGGGTGGTGCGTAGTTGGGTGGGTGGGTGGGTGAGTATGTGACTTGGTGACTGCACGGATGGCTGGTGGGTAGCCGGGTGGTTGGCTAGCGTTGCGCGTTCTGTGTAAGCGTGCTGCCCTCGGTGTGGAATTCCCAGCGTGAGCTGGAGGTGGTGGCGGCGGTGGTGGCGCTGGTAGTGGGGCGGGGTGGGGAGCACGAGGAGGAGTAGCAGGCCTCCTCTGGAATAATTCCTGTCTCATCTGTGAGCTTTAATAACGGCCGCCCCTCTTCACTCCCTGTCGCTAAATATGAAGTGGAGGGGTGGGGGTGTTGCAAAGCCGCGCCGTGTCAGCTGAAATTCCGCCAGAGGTCAACACGGGCGCTGGCCTCGCCGAGCGCGACTAATTACGCAGTAGATCGTTGTCACGGCGGGCACTGGACATCAATGTCAACGGGAGCGAGTTTGGGGGGTTTCCTCTGTGTGAATTTGAGTAATAAATGTAAAGCTAGCCAATGCAAGTGGGCACGAGCACAGGACGTGCTGCTGGCAGCGGTGATGACCAGTGGCGATGACCAGTGGCGGAGATGAACTACTGGAGTGGCAGCCTAAGGAGGGGAATGCACCCAAGAGTACGCGCCCCCATGGAGATGGAGTAATAAGATCGGCTCCGATGAATGTGCCAGGAGTCTCGTTTGTTCATTGGAACGTGAGGCGAGGGCTTGGGGAAGCCTTCGTCTCGCCGTGGGTTGATGATGATTGATGATGGTGAAGCTCTACGGAGCTCCTCCAGAGAGTATCTTTGGCCTACTCTTCCACGCTGGCCAGACGTCTTGGAAGAGGGTGGGATCCCCCGCACTTTACCCCCAACGACACGGGACCTGCCGATCGACTGTCCTGCACGCGCTTCACACTGCCGGGTGGGCAGAGAGGCTGGAGGGATTTCAGAAACTCGCACCGTCGCTTGCGCGGCCGCGCCGGGAGGGGCGGCATCCAGCCGGCGACAGCAGCAGCAGCAGCACCCAACTCAAACAGTGACACAGCGATCTCATTTTTCAAGCGGTGCGGTTTTGGCGGCTACCGATCGGGAGCGCTCGAGTGGGCGGACGCGCGTAGCCGTTCGTTGCACGCAACGACGATGACAGCGGTGGTGGCGACGGCGCCCTGCTGCTTCTCATGTGACCTTGCGTGGTTGTGCCGGCGCTGTCCCATCGATTGTCGCCACTCGTCCGATCAATTCCGTTCGTGTCGCGGTAAAAAAAAACATACACGGGGCGGGGAAGGGGGTGTGCGGGGGGGGGCAACTCTACGGCAAGTCCCACTGACCCCCGGTTACATTTTACGGCCCCCTGCGAATCCGTACGGATTGTGCGGCTTGTTTGACCGCACTTCACCGCTGCGGTCGGCGTTGTGCGTCGGTGAATGCCGCCGCACGGCTGGATTTAAATGACGACCGGCACCGTTGATTCACTTTGTCGAAATGTGCTGTCTTGGCAGACTTGTGGGTAATGCAGAACCAACATAGCAAAGAAAATTATGGAGTTTGTACGGATTGCCTTAAGGAAATAACATCGCATCCATCTCATGGCAATGGTGAGATGGATGTCCCGAGCAACAGCTGTTTGTTCAGCGAGTCTCATCAGCAGTGAGTGTGCCCCGATTGAGGCCAGCACTGTTGGAGTAAGAAAGAGCCAACGGCCCAGCCTTGTGGGGCCTAAACCTGATTAGCGAAATAATGTCAACTTACTTTGCGGAGGAGGCGAAGAGTGCAGGAGCTGTGGCACCCTGGGTTCAAATCCAGGTTTCAGCCCGCCAGGTTTTCAAGCGCAGCACATTAAATTCGTCTTTGCAGTGTAGTTGATCCTGAATTCCAGCGCTGGGATTTTATAAAGAGTGTAGGTCTGACTGCCATGCGGCGAACTTGGCTGTGAGTAGCAGGGCGTGCGAGAAAGCGCTGCCCACTACTGTGTAGACCAGAGAGCGTCTGAAGGGGCCTCAGAGATGGCTCTGTCATATCCGAGTCTGCGGATTAAATAGGGGAAAATTGTACTTTCTGCAACAACAAAAAACATTTACACCATTGGAACCTCATTTTCCAGTAAAAAATATGATAATTGTTTTTTTATCCTTCTATCTGGCAACAAAACTGACACCTTTTTTACAAGGAGTCATGTTTGCATAGACCACAATACCAAAAGGCGCCTTTTGGCGTCATCTGGTCCAACCCATGTGAGACTAGGCTCTAAGGAAAGCTGTCTCGGGTGTGGACCAATCAACTTCAAGGACAGTGCATACAGAGTTATGTTTTTTTGTTTGCATTATGACTGCAGGTATTATGGTCTATGCAAACATGACTCCTTGTAAAAAAGGTGTCAGTTTTGTTGCCAGATAGAAGGGTAAAAACAATTATTATAACAAGAAACCTAATTTGCTGCCCCCTACATATATTTATGTATTTATAAAACAAATAGTGAATCTTGTTTTAGTTCTTGCACACAGTGGTAGGCCTCTGCTACAGCTTGTGCCAGGCTAGGTGTACTCTTGAAACTACGTGAAGTGCTGAAGGCTTGCTGGCAGGAGGTCACATAACAGACCCAGTTGATAAGGGAGAAGCCATAGAGGTACCTTCATTTAGTTAGAATTGGTAAGGCAGTGCCTCACCAAAGTTGGCACATCAGGATTCAGTCCATGTTGGACCAAGTCTTCAATGATTGCTATGGTGTCAGATACAGGTACCTTGGTGAACAGAGAGACTACATCGAAGCTGACAAGCAAATCATCTGGAGACAGTGAAATGTCCTTGATTAGAGAAACCAAGCGAGCTGAATTAAGTACAGCTGAGGTGGTCTTGCCCGTGAATGGAAGCAGGGTCTCAGACAGAAATCGGGCCAGTTTGTAGGTAGGTGAGTTGATGGCAGAAACGATAGAACAGAGTGGAGTACCTTCTTTATGGATTTTTGGAAGACCATAAAATCTGGGTGGTCTAGCAGCCGAAGGTTTTGGAGAGAGCTGCTTTTTCGATTCTATTAGAGAAGTCAAATTAGTGATGATATTGTTGTTTTTTGTAGCCAGGCGGTTGGTAGGATCTTTGTTGATTATAGTATAACTGCCATCATTAATAAGGTCCTGGATTTTGTTGTTGTATGTGGTTTTATCCATGATGACCGTGGCATTGCCCTTGTCGGCTGAAAGGATGACAATGTCATCTCTCTTTTTCAATTGAGCAAGTTCAGAGCGCTCGTCCCTGCTGACGTTACTAATGGGTTTCTTAGCGTTTTTGAGGATGGCGGCGATTTCAGATCTTGCCACGTCTGCTGGGATGTGACCTAAACCTTTGAGGGCTACGTCAACCTGGGCAATGATTTCATCCACTGGGATGTGTTTGGGGGTGACTGCAAAGTTCAGCCCTCTAGCTCGTACCGATTTTAGGCTATCAGAAATTTGGCTGTTACTCTGATTGATGACAATCTTGTTAACATCTAACTTTTTAACGCGTGGATCTGGCTTCTTTTTTGACAGGGTGTTGAATTTATCAATCGGGTTAACTTTACATTTGGTTGACATTGTCGCGGCTGAAGAAACAGTCATGTTATCTACAAGGTCCCAATCAGATGTGGACATTTTATCTGTTAATGCTAAGTGTGACTGTAAGAGACATAAGTTTAAATTATCAAGTTCAAAACGGAGCAGCCTTATCCTCTCTGAGATTAGCGATAGGCTAGCTTTGAACAAGATCCGTTTAGCGTTAGGAGAAGTGACAGCAGCAGATGTGAGTGTAAATGCATCGGTATTACCTTGTTGTCGCGGTATCTCTTGAGAAAGGTGAGCGCGACTCGATCAGGTGAGCCTTCTTGTCTCGAAGTCTGTTAAGAGCTCTAACAGATGCGTGGAAACCCTCCCCGTAGAGGTGGTTCCGTCTTGACTTGAAGCTTTTGTGACAGCAGGAAGCCATATTCTTTGGTTCTTTCGGTAAAGCAGCCAAATACTCGAAATGCATGTTTCTAAATGTGAAGGGAAAAACCAGAGAACACAGAGAAACATCCACACGACCGCGGGGAGAGAGAGAGACACCGCAAACTCCAAATAAACAGCGGGCGTCAGGGTCTGGATCGAACCCACGACCTCCTGGAT